TTTTTTTTTTTTTTTTTAATGCCATCGTGCATTCATCGATCACGATATATATGTATATATTTTTTTTTTCGTTTCCATCATCGGATGATTCGTAGTTTGTTTTTATCGTTATCATTTGTCATTATTATCGTTTTATTGATGTTGTTATTATTATTATTATTATTATTATTATTTTAATTTCGTCCATGAAGATATCCAACGTGAAAGAGAGGAAAAAGAAGAGAGAGAGCTCGCGAGAGAGATCCATCGGATTCGTTATGAGTTTCGCACGGGTTTGGACGAATTGTTTATTCGATGTTTATTAGTAGTAGTAGTAGTATTAGTGTTAGTATTGTTCCGTGATTCGTTAAAAATTCGTTTTTTTTTTTTCCATCGTTGTGGAAGAACGACTCGGATGAAGAAAGAGGATGTGAACAGAGAAAGATGCCGAGGCGTTCGTAGGCGAGCAGGAGATGAGGGACGATTAATTTTCATGGTGATGGCCAGTGGAGGCGCGATGACGCCCGTGATGACGATGACGATGATGGGCGGACGATGCGACGTCATCGTTGGTCGTCCAATGGTTCCACGTGGATCGCACAGTTGGTGGTCGGTCGTCGATGAACGGGTGGAGGCACGGAAATGAGGAAATAGAAGAATTTGATTGATTTGTATATTATATATATATATATCTGTGTGCTTTTTAGAATCACTGTGTGTGTCTTGTGTCAATTATTTTATTTTTTATTATTATTATTATTATTGTTGTTATTATTTTATTTTCTATTTTCGACACGATGTTCGTGTGTGTTCCATCCGTGTCTTATCCATACTCGTCTACTTTCTTCTCGTTCGTTAAACTCCGTTCTCTCTGAAAATTCATCTCGTTCGATTTGATTTCTCTAAGTGTGTGGACCGACTCGAAATTTTTATCTGTATAATAAATACGTGTCGTATACATCTCGTGTTACCTTTCCTTCTTCTAAACGCACGGCCGTTCAACGTTACGTTCGAATCGTTTGTTTCTAATCGTTTCGATTTTTTATGCGTTTTGTCCTTTCTATCTTTATTTTTTTTTTTATGCTTTTTATTATTACTGTTACTATTATTACTATTATTATTATTATTATTAATATTATTACTTTTCTCTCGATTATTTATTCTGCTTCTATTTCGTGTTTCTGCTTGCTATTTCTTTCATCTTATATCTTATTTGTCTCGGGTTTATTGTGGATTTCTGTGGGTTTTTGATAATGCTTTTTTTCTTTTTTTTTTTTCTTTCTTTTTTTCTTTTCTTTCTTTCTTTTTTTTTTTTTTTACTAGAACTGGCTAAGAAACGCTCAGGCCAAACGCTCAGAACGAGGCCTCGACGAGGTAAGTCCCGTCCATCGCAGCCCCGGTCTGCCCCCCTTGGGCACCCGTTACTTGGGCCCTTGTCGCCGGGATGTACTGACTGTACGCCTGCTGAAATCCACACCACAAGCACACACTACATTGTTGCACGCTAAGCTCACCTACCCTAAAGTGTCTGTTTCTACTATGGACCTCTACTCTCATTTATATCTCTATTCAATCGTGACACGATGGAAGAAAAAAAAGAAAAAAGACACGTGTTAATGTACGTCGTCGCGTGGGACGTGATTTTCTTATTCCCCCCCGCCGGAACGAAAAGAATTTTCTCAAATTCCCAAATTTTCTGGAAATTTTTCGGTCTCGTCGAAAGAGGGGCGGAGGGGGGAGGGGCAGGGAGGGAAGGAAGGAGGGAGTGGAAGGGAAAATTATTCGAAAAACATCAATCAACCAAACATCTACCGGTATCATCTACGTATCTTCTACGCGTTTCTTTATTACACGTCATAGATCACCGATCTCTATCTATATAGATCTAACCCCTAAAAAAATAATTCCATCTAAACACGAAGAATGGATCGCGCGCCATTTTCGAAGGCTCCAGCTCTCGACGAAAGAGGCCTTAAAATCCATTTGTGATATTTCCAAACTCCCCCACCCCCCCTCCCCCCTCCGACAGTGCGTCGTTTCTCCTGTCGTTCGTTTCCGTCTCGTTCTACACTGGTCCTCCACTATCAAACAAGCTTCCAGTCTAAGATTCGACTAAAAACCCTCTAAAATGCTAAGATTCCTTCCACTACCTAGATCGATCATCCCTGTTCGTTGGCGGAACGGGGCGAGAACCACTTCGCAACCCGTTCGCAAACCAACGGAACGGACTTAATCGCCGGGTTTAATTAAATTTAATTAGCCCACGTTTAACGCCCGACCCCGATTTCCCGAAAACTGTGCAACGCAACGAGTTGGTCGGCAATGGCGCGCTCAATGGACGCGCTTCCGGCCCGCGTTGGGGAGGGATCGGCGACGAAACGGCCGTGTAAAATCATTATCACGGAACGGGACACGGGAATTTTAATTGGACAATGTTGAAAAGAGAATCGAAATAATCGAACTGAGCCCGTGTTTATCGAATTGCCGCACCGGGTCGGATGCGTCGATCTTTTCGATTCGATAAATCAATACCCGTATTTTCGAAATTTTGTTGAAATTTGTGGAAATTTGTCGCGTGGGTGCGTGTATTTTCGGGTGGATATATGTTCCGATATCCTAGAATTTTCATTTCTTCTTTCTTCGTTCTAATTTAAAACGGAAATATCGCCATTTTAATTTCGCGAATTTAAACTTTTGAACTTTCGAGCGCGGCTTGAAAAAAGAATATAGTCCGTTCGAATGATATTTCCATCGTATTTTTATCACTTACTTTTTTTTTTTGAAAAAAGAATCTCCATTAATTTCCAACAATCGAAACAAAAATATCTCCTTGGAACGAATTTACAATCGCGATCAGGCCATTCGACGTTCATCCATTTCTTTTACAAAATTATCGTGAATAACTTTCCCATCCATCCCCCCTCCCTCCCTATAATAATATAATAAATTCCCGATTGATACAACTTTCTCCCTTTTTGATATCTGTTTGCAAAAAGAGAGAAAAATAAGACGTTCGACGAACGAAAGGTAACATAGAGTTTTCTTCAATCGATCAGTAAAGTTGAAAAAGAGAAGAAAGGTATATCTTACTCTAAAAGTCTCGTCTCACTGAAAGAAAACAGAATAATTAGAGGTTGGTTGGCTCGCGATCGATCCAAGTGAAACGTAACCAAGGGGGTTCGTTCGAGTCGATCGGGGGTCAAAAACACCGGGGCCAATCGCGGCCCCCGCAACAGACAACAGTTCTTCATTATCATGCAACTTGTCGCGTCCTCGAGTCGCTCGCTAATTAATCGGTCGCGAGTTCAACGACACGAGGGGAGGAAAGAGAGGGGGAGGAATGGAAGAAGGGACGAGCGAATCGTTCCCTCGTTCGAAAAAGGGAAGGAAAAGGGAGGAAAATTGGGAACGATGATTCGAACAACTCGTGGGGCGCGAAAGATACGGTTCGTGAAGAAAGGTTTTCGCATTCAAACAATCCAAGAAACAAGAGAGGCATAATAACGTAACGCAATGCGAGTAGCGCAATGCTGGGT